CTGTTTGTTCATTTATTTTTATTTTTCAGGGACTGAGACTTCGTGTGGTGGAGGTGTCTCGCTTTGTGTGTGGAACACTCCTTTTCCCTTTTGTAGTTTAGGTGATTCCTCTTCCTTCACTGGATGTGGTCTCCTTGTTTTTACAGCCCCCCTCCCCACTAGTAAGCCTCAGTCTCACCTGATATTTTAAAGTGTTTTTTTTTAACTCCAGCACAGCTGTTTTAAACAATTAAATGCAGTCAACAATTTTCTGGTATTGCATATTTTAAAATACTTTTTGAATACTTTTCACTTGTGCAAATTACACCCCCAATAAATTATGATGCACTTCCTTCAAAGCAGCCAGCTTAACACATCCCCTTTAAGTGCTCTGATGACATTTTTATTTTAAACATTTCAAATCCACCCTTTTTCCCCTCAATCATCTTGGCTTTAGGCATTTTAATTCATCCATTGTGGCCCTCAATGTCTGGGCCTTTAATGTCAACATCAGGTGTTTTAATTTCTCCTTTGACCATTGGCATTTTAACATCAATATCACCTTCAAGTTTGGGGCCTTTTAGTTTAATTTCAAAATCAGGGCTCTCTAATTTTGGATCTTTGATGTTCAATGTTGACAATATCTGCTTTTAGAAGGTTGATGTCAACATCTGTACCTTCTACTTTTGGCCCTTTTAATCCAAATAATGGCATCTAGCCCTCAGCTCTTCTGTTGACACACCATCCATCTCGGCTGGAGGCACTCCTGTCTGTATTAATGCCCTCCAAAAAGCAGAGCGAGTGGGTGCCTGTGTGTTATTTCGGCCGTGCCTTCTTGGCCCACGACCCATGGATTGACTAAACGTTTTTTCACGGTTTTCAGCCCTCTCTGTGTTCCAATCTCCGAGTGCACCCAGTTCCAACACTCAGCTTCGAACATCAGTCATTGGAACAGCATGCACTTGATAATCTGCTGCCAAACCCACAGCCAGCGCATCACTCACACACAGTCGAATCAGTCTTTGCACACTTTCCCTTAAGGTCACCCAATGCCCCAGTAAATCAGGCCAATCCGATGCTCCATGAAAGATCTGTCGGACTGCCTCTGCATAAACTTCAAACAAAGGTCTCGAGTCTTGCAAAGCTCTGACTTCCTGTCGGTACGCTGAATTCACTCCTACCTGACCTCCACCTTTATCCAACAGCCTAGCTACCCAAGCATCTGTTGGTTCTCCAGTCTGTTGTTTATATATTTTAGACAAGTAAGCAACCTCCTCCTGGGTATAGTCCTCGACTATCACTTTTAAATCTGCCTGAGGCTGTTGCTGTGCTACCAGATCCATGACTGGCTGTCCATCAAGCCCCACCATCTGTTGTCCCTGGGCATCTACCCTCGCTTGCAACACATCTGGTATTATCTGCTGCTCTTTCCTACGTTTTTTTTTTTTACAGGTTTCACATTTTTGCTTGTTGTTTGAATGATAGGAGACCTCATCGCATTCAGTTCATCCTCCTCGTCTCTCCAGATGTTACCGTCCCAACTCGACGGATCCCATCCGGTTCCCAAATGAGCAACAAAAGCACAAACTCTTTTAGGTGGCACACTTAAGTTTCTTTTTCCTGAACTTTTTTCTTTTCAGGATAGAAACTTGTGCTATCGCACCCTCCGCCACATCAGTCATTCTGTTCAGCTGCGCAGTCAGCAGCTGGACATATTTCTGTAACAAGTTCTCAACTTGCGCCTCCTCGAGCGCCTGCTTCTGACACTGGGACTTGCTCGATCCCGGCATAAATTCCTCAACATTTTCACTTGTTTTTTCTTTTCTTTTGAACATTACGCGGCACTCTTTCCAATATCCTGTTTGTGACGCCAAAAATGTTTTATGGTATTTGTTCTTAAATAAAAACCAGGACTCGGAAGAATGAACAGCACAATGAACAAAATACACACACACACGCCGCACAGCCCTAGTGGAACAGAACACCAACACAACATCGGACGTCTGGATCAAAGACTCACGGTCTACTCTAACTCTGTCTGAGCGCTCTCTTACTTTATACTTTCCACCCTCTGCATCACGTGAGAACATCTCCCAGTGCACAAAACATGCCCACCTGGACTAAAAACTGTGAGAAACCTCGAGATAGCGTGAAAAACTGTGAGAAACTTCGAAATAGCGTGAGAAACCTCGAGATAGCGTGAAAAACTGTGAGAAACTTCGAGACAGCGTGAGAAGGGGGTGCGGGCCAAGACTCCTCCCCAGGCCTCTCGGGTGACTCACAATAACATGTACCAAAAACTCTTTATATCACAGGTTAAATAGTCAGAAAAACAACATTTTATTAAACTTTCAACTCACCACTGTTGTGTTCTGTGAGCGTCTCGTCATGTCTGGAGCAATGGTGAGTTTGAAAAACCTTTATTTAAGGACACCGGCTCGTTTTTGCGGAGGATGTGTGCGCAGCCACTGTGAGTTCATACGAGCTTAAAGACTGGCTAAAAATAGACACTTTGATCATTGAATTATGTTTTATTTCAACATTGTGTCATCTTTCCACACACCCTCCGCAGACCGTCATTTTGAATCTTTTCCCCGTGAGCTCTGGGATTTGTTGGCTCAGGGCGCCGTCTGTTGGGGATCTCTGGGAAATCGTTGGACACTCTGTTGCCGGGATGAAGAGAGCCGGTCTCCGACGGGCGGGGCTGCGATGAGGTTCAGCGAGACGGCCGTGGAACGTCTTGCCACCGGCTCATTTCGTGTGGAGGATGTGAGAGGGAGCCGCTGTCAGGTCATCCAAGCTGACAGACTGGCTAAAAATAGACACTTTCATCATTAAATGATGTTTTAAACCAAACTCGTGTCACCTTCACACACATTCTCAGCAAAAACCGTCATTTGCTCTGCCATTTGTTGTCCTAGAGCGCCATCTGTTGGCAGTCTCAGGGAAACGCTGAAAACTCCGTCCTCCGGCTGCGATGCGGGCCGGCAGACAGCAAAGAGGCGCACCGGTTGAGGATGACGACAGCTGCCCTGCAGAGGGAGTGTACATCTCTTCCCGCCTCTGAACGTGTACGCCAAGAGCGTAACGTGTTGTTCGCTGCGGCCGTCTGAAACGCATGCTGGTGAGCTCGGTCGGAGAGCGGTGTCACCGTCTGGGTTACGCTAACCGGAGGCGCGGGACGCTGGTCCACCTGGACATCTTGCTCCGAGAAAAGTCTCCGTCAGGCTCGGCTTCAGGGGGCACTGAGGGAATTTCCGCTCGGTGAAAACCCCTTTACTCTGGTGATGGGCGCGGACTGTGGAAGCCGGCCCCCCAATCTACCAGGAAAATGGCTGTGGCCTTGTCCCCGTAGGACATCCTGTTGGGAATACCGAGGCCAGATGGATCAGGATGGCGAGCTGGGATGGAGCCCAGAAAAAAAACCTTCCCGCCGATCATCCGAACTGGCGGATAAGGCGCGGGACTTAAAAAAGGGTCCCTTCATGTCAGCTGCCTCCTGGGTTACGCCGGGCAAAAACCCCAGAGGGTGCCGTCGGCCGGGAGCAGTGCGATTGCCGATGCGAAATGAGGTGGGACGAGGTGAGTATTCACTCAGCCCCCTTCCACAGACACTATGCTCTCCAGGAGGGAACTTCTCTCGAGCACCACGCAGCGCTGCTCCTCCACGCTGCTCCTCCGCTTCTCTGCACGACACCTCCGCACCCCCGGTGAAAAACTACGAGACTAACCGGAGAGGCTGAGGCTGAATTCGTCACTGGTCCGGTGGCACTTCAAAGCACCGGAGCGTCTCCTCCAGGCGAAAACAGCGATTCCACAGAGGTGGACAGTCCTTCGTTAAAAGTAACGGGCTGCTCAATGAAGCCGAGACCCACTATGTTGAAGACAAAGTCCCCCACAGCCACCTCGGTTCGGTTCTGGTCCAGTTCGGGGGTCACAGGTACACTTCCCCCACACCTATGAAGACACCACGAGGGCCAGTCCAGCAGAAAACCAGCAAAATACCACGCGGCGATTTTTGTCGGAACCAGGTAGAACCACAAAGGTCCAGATGAGAAGTTCGTTGAGATCCAGAGAGAGAAAAAACACCGGACCTTCGTGCGACGACTCCCTAGCTCGAGGGGTCACCTGGCCGGCAGGGTGCGCTCAGAGTGACCAGTGGAGTGGGAGCGGCCGGTCCTCAACCAAAATATATTTTTGGACGGTCCCGTCCGGCTCTGAGTCACTGAACACCGAATTCGGTTGGAAGGGGGACCAACTTTAGTCCGGTTCGAAAAAACGAGTCAGTTTGATGACAAAAGACTGCAGAGAAGCCGGAGGGAGCTGCCGTCCATCAGCTCGTCGGAAGTGAAGTTTTTTTAAATGAAAATGATTATTATTATTATTGTAGACATGGACAAAAAGACACGAGACAGAGCTGGAAGTGTCAGAAATTAAGATGTTGAGGTTCTCTTTAGGAAAGACAAGGATGGAGAAGATCAGGAATGAGATCATCAGAGGTTCAGCACAGGTTGAACAACTGGGAGATAAAGTTAGAGAGGACACACTGAGATGGTTTGGACATGTCCAGAGGAGAGACAGTGGTGTGGACATGTCCAGAGGAGAGACAGTGGTGTGGACATGTCCAGAAGAGAGACAGTGGTGTGGACATGTCCAGAGGAGAGAGTGGTGTGGACATGTCCAGAAGAGAGACAGTGGGTATACTGGTAAAGAAAAAGACAAAGAGGAGATACATGTATGCAGTTAGAGAGGACATGGAGGTAGACAGACTGAGGACAGAGTGAGGACAGAGGACAGAGATGGGGGACTCTGTGGAAACCCTGAAGAGGGAACAGCTGCAAGAAGAAATGTTTTTTAAAGAACTTGTCAGTAAAATGTTTTCATGAACTCTTCGAGGAGGAAGCAGCTACGGAAGCTCGGTTGGCTCAACAGGAAGCAGGAGAGACGTTTACCAAACTGTTTGTTTCAGACTTTATCATCCTGTCACACAAACAAACAAACAAACAAACAGTGAAAGGAACTGGGATCAAACGTTTTTATTTTCAAAGATTACTGTTACAAACTCAAGATCATCTTCAGATAGACTTCCTGTCCTCAGAGGATCTGTTTCCGTTTACTGTAAACAACAACAACAGATCAACAACTGATTATGATGAGACGCAGGAGAAGGAACCAAACAGACGTCTTTAGTATTTTGGTCTCTTCACGTCCACCCTGAAAATAAAAACAACTTGTTTATTGTTGTTCTCATTCATAAACAACAAACAGTCTGCAATCTTCTGATTGGCTGATGAGCCTGTCAGTTGAAAACAAGAAATGTAAACAGGAACTAGTTACCCGTCTGCCTCCATCTTCTTCCTCTTCTCAATGATCTAGGGGGAAAAAAAAAAACTTCAACAACCTCCACAGAGGACAACTTCCTATGTGTCATATGAACTTCCTATGTGTCATATAAACTTCCTGTGTGTCATATAAACTTCCTAAGTGTCAAATTCATTCAACCTTTATTTAAACAGATAAATCACATTGAGCCTCGAAGACTCATTTACAAGTGAGACCTGTTTGGACAAAAACAGCGGTTAACTGGACACATGGAGGAGTTGGAGGCGAAAAAAATTCCTATCAGACTTTTTTCTTGGCTGAGAAAAACCTCTAATGTTCAAAAAAACACTTTGCACAAACAAGCACATATTTACGAAGACATTCTGCATCAGAGACGAGAGTGGTCAACAACGCTTATAGATGCTCTCGAGGTCACTGTAATCAGTCCATGTCCTCCAGTGAGATCCATAAACATTCTCAAGGTATGTCGAGAAATGGCCAAGAATAACATCTATAAGAATCCAGAGTCCTGAAATGATGACACAAAGTTTATTCAGCGGGGTTTCATCTGGTTATCAGTTGGAAATTCCTCAGGGAGGGGGTGGTGAGCGTCAGATCACATGTTCTCCAGGCGACTTTAGAGAAGATGGCCTTCAAGACCAGCCAAGGGAACCAAAATTTAGATAAACACACAGTTGTTTTGGGGACAGGCAGAACTTAATGACATCAACCTTGAGTGTGTGTTTGGTCCACTCGATTACGAAATGTCCAAATTAACATGGCCACACCGATGGAAACGTGTCTGAGTAAAAATCCCCAAGATCTGATCCATTCAGCCCAAAGCATTCGAGTCCGGGTACTCCAGACATGAACCCAGCCATCATAAAGTCAAGCAGCGTGATCGGGTCCAAATTTGCTGCTGACAACTTCCTTGATTGTAGATAAAACCAGCGCCAGCTGAATCCAAAAAGCAGGAACCAGTTATCAAAAATCCAATTAAATATGCGTCCTTAAAATCCACAGATGGCAGCAGAGATAGACACATCATCAAGTTTTCCAGTCGATGAGATATCCAGCTGTGTACGTGCCAACAGGGTAAATCAGCTCGCCCAAAGCCTGTCTTCTCTTGAAGAAATGCTGTAAATTGAGTAGAGGGACCAACTGGTCAAAACAAGTTCATAATTATGGTTCGGAAGAAATGCAAGAGAGGCTCACAGCAATTTCACAGACAGAGCAGCAAAGCGGAGAGGGAGGAGGAGAAGCATCCGATCTCGTGGGGAGCGAGTGGTGAAGTGAATAAACCAAGGCGCCAATAAAACCAATAAACTTCCTATGTGTCATATAAACTTCCTGTGTGTCATATAAATTTCCTGTGTGTCATATAAACTTCCTGTGTGTCATATAAACTTCCTGT